CCCTCGAGAGTGTTGCAGAGCAAGGGGTGTCAGCTCGCTGTGCGTCGAAAAACTGTGCAACGTACGTCGACCGCCGAACGAGTTCGAGGTGTTCGAAGTAGCCAGCGACTGTCCGAACAGTTTGGTCAGCGTCGCAGAGTGTATCGCCGACCGCCGGAACCACATGCCGTGCTGCCGACGCGAGGCGAAGGGCGTCGACGACCTGTGCCTGCATCTGTGCGATGGCTCGGACGTGTTGCTGAACGTCAGCCACTGGGAAGAGTACAAGGCGTACGTCGCTTGTCTGTCATTCAATGTCAACTCGATGTACGATTGCATTCTGAGAGGCTACCAGGAAAGCCCCTATCCGCCCCGCAACGTCACCGTCGCCAACGTCGGCGTCCGAACAGCTCACGTGTCTTGGCTGCCCCCGACCAATGACGCTTCTTTGGTCAGGCAGTATACTGTACAGATTATCGAGGCCGGTTCCGTGTCTAATGGAGGCATTCCTTACTACGTGAACACCACCTCCAGAACGTCGATAGACTTGACGGATCTCGTGCCCAACAGTCGGTACAAAGTGTATATCATATCCAAAGGCAGGTCGGCAGAATTTACGAGTTTAAAGTCAGAGCCGGCCGAATTCGTTACCAAAGGGTTGGCTCCGCAGATCAAAGCTTACAGTACTGTCGTCGATTCGCGCGAGGGAATTATCGAGACACTGATCTGCAAAATGAGCATCTGCGGAACGGAACAAATCCCGGTGTCTGTTCAGTGGTCGAAGGCAGACCAAAGTGGTACGTTCGTTCCTCTAGCCTTGAACGGCTACCATTTCGTGCCACAACTTTATCAGGCAGCTGATCTCAGCGGTACTTCCGCGTCCTCGCCAAATCCTGAACAGCATTCGATCACCTACATGTGTAGCCTGAAGATCGTCAACACGAAAGTGTCCGATTTTGGGCTGTATAAGTGTGAGGCGGTCACCCAGTTCGGCAAACACGACGCCGTGGTTCACCTCCGTCAGTTGAGAACCGTGTACGTACCGCCGAGTCCCCCAAACGTCACCGAGTGTTGTG